ATATCCTGAGCACAGGGCTTTGATTCACAATCTTTTAATTTCCAGGATATCCCAAAAATTGCATTGAAGCAGAATATATACGAAATATGTAATAATCCATGCCACATTTACCGCAAAGCAAAACTAGCAACATGGCTTTATTTTTCCTTGCCTCAATTTTAACACACATAACTTCATTAATGTGAAAGTAAGTTGTATAGCCTCCAGTGGTCATTGGCAGATTGATTCTCTAACAGTGATGTATCCTTTCCATCACTGACATTTCCTTTATACAGGATAAACCACTGCATGGGCAGCTGCCTAACTCACCCCTTGTCTGTGAAAGAAAACCAGACTACTCTTAGATTCTTGACATCACCTGAGATCGCTCGTATGTTACARATAGTGCCAGTAATCTTTCACACAGATCTCCAGTCTGACGTCCAGCATGTTAAGAGTATTCCAATTCACCCAGTCAGCATGTGGAATGCCCAATGTATGGTGCTTGATAATAGCCTAAGCTGTATTTGGCTGAAGAATGCTGTCCACATAGGCATTTAGTCTTCAGTTTTAAGGCCAGGTTATTGTGATGTAGAGGATATTCTCAGTATAAGTGAGTGCGCTTTCACAGATTTCATGGCCCCTTTTAAAATGATAATAATTCTTTTAAAATGAATCAGCCCTATGAAGCCAGGGGATTTCATGAGAATATGAGCTTCTATTAAACATAAAAGGAGTAAGTCTTTAATCCTTATTATTGGAATAAAATCCTATTAGAATAAGAATCCTTATTATTAGAATAAAAAAAAACCAACACATAAAACATGAAATAACTTGTCCTAAATGCTCATCAATGACAATGCAAACTCACAAACACTTTTTTATTTAAAAATTGTATTTGTTAACATCTAACCATTTAAGGATACATATTTTCCTTTACTGCATGTTTAGTAGCCTACAAGCTTTTGAGCTGAACATTTAGCTTTAAAGATTATGATTCAAATCAAGGTATATTTTAAAGGAGATAATTTTTTTATAATGAGAAAAGAGGTTCTCACATGGAGTCAAGATCAGAAAATTGGTGTTCAGATATTTCTGGAAGATTTCTTACAATAAGATGAATTATCTTTTGTCAACAAATAAATTGCCATGTAACGGTGGCTCAGGTTTTGAAGAGCCATCWGTTAATGTATTGAGACACTCTGTGTGTTTGGGTAAACTCCCTCATATTGCCAGATCCCAGGGATAACACTTTACATATCTGTGAGCTGCTCATCTCCTGATCTCAAAGTGCTTTTCAAACACTTTCCAACATCCATGCTGAGCTCTAATAAACTTCTTTACATATAGCTGGAGAAACCCTGTATTTCTGAACTGTGAGCAAAATTCAAATTTTAGCTGTTATGCTGCTTGAACTTTGATTGCTGACACCTCTCTTTCACACACCTTTCAGAAACTACAAAACCTCCACTGTCACTCCCAGCAAGAGAGATGGAGAGACCCCCGCTATGTCCAGCCAGGTGTCCAGGGGGGGCAATCTCATTGCATCCTGTATAGAGACAATGCTCATTTAGAAGGGGCTGCCAGACTTTATCTGAAGGTGAAATAAATGCACTTAGAAAGCATTCTGCATCTGCTGCAGGGATGAGTAATCACACATGCATGCATCCTCCTGCTTACCAGGGCACTCTGGGATGAACTTTGCTTGAGACTCCCCTTGGGAGGATGGTTAATCCTTGCTAGGGTTTTTATGAGGCATGTTTGCCTGGCCAAATGACTGCACATCTTCCCTGTATGTAACATTTTGAAGCAGGAAATGTAGCCCCTGACCATCTATATTGGCTACTCCCCACCTGTGTTCTGCTCTGATAGGGAAGATGTTTGTGATTGCTATGGAAAGTCTAGATATAACATAGTACTGCCTCATATTGAAGTATGATTAAAAGGTAAATCTGTGGCTCCCTTTTACCAAAATGAARCAGATTCATAAAGGCAGCACTTTTATAAAGGTACCATGGTGGCTTTCCTTGATGAGATCCTTGAGCTCATTGACAAAGGCAATACCTCTCACGAAAGGTAGGCACAAGTGGTACTCCTTTCGATCCATCAGTAACCACAACTTAAAGATAATCCTTTTTCAGGATGTGAGAAGGCAGCATTTTCCTTCCTGCCAACTCAGCTCTTGGCTGGGAGGCAAAATAAATTAATTTGTAGGTGTGTGCTTAGGAAGATATGACTGAAGTTTAAGAGTATAGGAATGCAAAAATTCAGCTGACAAGAGTGTAATTGAACCACTGGGAATTTTTTTCACTGTTTTTATTGAACTTGGATTTTATTTTTTTTTGTTATTCCCATCCAGTGCTCATGAGAAAAGTGCCAAACCTGATCTCTGGACTCAGGTTTATTCACATAACCCTGTGTCAGATAGTTGTTTTTTTTTTTCTTATGAAGTAAGAGTCTACAAATAGCAAACATCCATTTAGGCACAAAAGAAACCGGCTGAGGAAGAGGAGATGTCTCCATATGTTGCCCATGCTTGGGTCCTCCAGCAGCCTTGCTCTGGCATGCCCCCTGCACCCATGGGCTCATTTCAATAAAGAGCCCTTCCATGGCTGAGAGTGAGTAGGAGAAAGGATCCTGACTCAGATTTCAACTTTTCTTTGTGAGAATTTATTTAATAAGGTCTTAATATATCCATGTGAGGAGCCTGTTGTGGACTGAAATTTTTCTTCAATTAGTACCCATGGGACTAGATGACTAAATTTGTTAATTTTGGAGGACAGATATACCTGATTTGGTTGGATCAGAAATGCCCAGGACTGAAGGAAGAAGCAGACCAGAAGCAGTTAATAGGGAGGCAGAACTGCCACTGTTAGTTTCATGGCTCCTGTGCAAATTGCCCTCCTGATCCCTGAAACCCAGCCTCCCTTCATCCCACAGCTCAGGAGCAAGTGAGGTCACCTTTACAGTTTGCAGCAAAAGGCCAGCAACTGCCTTTCCTTGAGTCAGTAGGTAAATATGACTTTGCCTGGGTCTGTCACCCAGAAGCAAGGTTTGCCTCTGAGCTGGTGACATACAGGGGTCCTGGCTCTGCTTGCAGGGCCACCATCAGCCCTGTGTCCTTATGAGTCTCCTGCTCAGGCCATGTACCATCAGGAGCTCTCACAGCCCTGTGCAGCAAGGATGGGTGAAACTTAATGCCAAGGCTGGCACTGAGTGATAATTACTTCCTTGGGGACTGACAGGGAAGTATTATTTATTTATTTTACAGGGCTGCAGATTTTGAGCCCAGGGAGATCTGTTTTCCTTGTAGYCAAAGGCTTGGTGTTGTCAGCCCCGTTACTCCAAAAGCACAGTCGTTTCATTGCGTGTTATGCAGCATGTGGGTTTAAAGCAAGCTCAAATTATAACTCTATTTTTTCACCCCACCTGAAATTATCTGGGAAACACTGACCGGAGGCCTTAATTGCTCTATTTCTGAGTGTCCTTGTCAGTATGGGACTCTATTAACCCAGAAGTATCTTTTGCAGTGGACTGTAGTGAAATCCATTGTAAACCATGTGTGCGAAGGAGAACTGCATGACCACGGGAGCAAGTGCAGCAGAAAAAGGTCCCTGTGTGACTGTCTCTACTTTTTTACCAAGTGAAAGCTCATTACATTCTGCAGAATTGAAGCAGACTGAGAAAAAGATCCCAAAATAACTTAAATTCCATCAGCATTACCAAGTGTAACAACAATAAAACCTAAGACTTTCATGGCATCTGGGGCARCCACTTCCCCACTCCATGTTTGCAGTCTCTGGCACGTAAATGGTAAAAAAAGAAAATGTCTTTCAAGAGGGACAGTACTGTGGAAGTTTTTTGAATGCATGGCTGGGTTAGCCCACACTCATTTTTGCAACTTGGTTTGCTCTGTTTGCTGGATCTTGGCCAAACATATCTCTTGCRTAATTATGTGGCTCACTTTAATAAATTCACAGAAGTTTCTAGGGGTGTAACTAAAGTTTCCCCCTCCTTTTTGTAATTATACAACACCCACCGCAATGCGGCACAGGTCCTAATTGGTGGATTCRTGCCATGATTTACAGTAATTATCAAAGCAAATGCCATAACATAGGAAAATAGAAACACCCAGCTGTACATTCAACGAGCTGAAAGAAGCCTTAAAGAAAAAAAGCTCTATAAAATCATGAGAAGTTATTTGTCTGTTTCTTTGTGAGAAAAAGTGAGTTTAATTGATATTCTGCACTGTAGACTAAGGCTGAATAATACCGGTTTAAAGCAAGAGCAGTCCTACTGAAATCAACTCCATTATTTGAGATTTCTGCATGGAAAAGTCAAATACAGAGATGGCAGACGTGGCTTCATATCCTGCTGCTCTAACTCTGCACAAAAGTTCTTGTACATGGGGGATTAAGGGAAGTTTGTGAGAAAAGTTCTCAAGGTTTCAGCTTATATAGTGTCAAAGAAAGATATTTAATAAGGAACTCCAGAATGTGTTCATTATTTTGGAGTGTTTCCAAGCTCTTTCCTCCAAAGAGCTGGTTCCAGGATATATGATTCAGTTGGTTATTTCATGCTCATGTATTCCAGTGGAAATGGGATAACTTCTATGTTGAGGTACTAGACAGAATTATTAAGGGTGTTGGACCTTGGACCATGCAATTTAGAACCTTTTAAAATGTTTCCAACTCCTCATCTGACCTCACCAAATTTATTTAACATTCATCTAAAGAAATAGCTTTGAAAAGTTATTTGCTCTGCAAGAGAAACCTGTGGTCTTTCAAAGAACGAGTGAAATGCACAAATTCGAAACACACATTAAAAAAATCAAGCATCCTTCATGATCACAATAAATGCCCATCTTTCCAGGGCTTCATGGCCCACTTTGCAGAGTAAATTCCAGTTAACCATAGCTGTAGCATATTTGACAAAAGCCGGTTTTCAAGCTGCACAGCAGCCCCTCAGCCACCGTGACTAGAATGCCAGCACAGAGGCTGCGAGGACACCCTTGGGCTTACCTAGGTCAGAGCACTGCACCACGCGCAGATGGCACTGACAGCGGAAGGGGCACACAGGTCCGAATCCGGATATGACGGGATCATCCGTGGGAGGCATGTCGGCTGAGCCTTCATCCTCCAGCATGAAGTCAAAGAGGCCCTGCTGGTGGAACGGCTTGGCCAAGCATGTTGGCAGCAGTAGGACAAACAGGAGAGCCAGCCTCTTCATGGCTTAGTTCATGGGCTCCCAGCAGAACCTAGGATTCAAAGCAGTGGATTAATGACAGAAGTAGCAGTTTCCCATAGCTGCACAGTTCCTGCTGAAGGAGGTCCAGCACATCCACCAATTGCATAACTGTTCCTTTCAATAAAAGAAAACTGAATAGTAAAAATGGGACAGTTATGTGATAGGAGTCTGGTAACTGCTTGTCAGTACGATTTTTTTTTTGTTTGTTTTACAGAGCATTTTGAAGGCAATTGTAAACACATCTGTTTGCATATTTAGAGTAATATTTATTAGTAACAGGCAGCGCTGTCAACTTTGTTATGCAAAAGAGTCAAAGCAATAAGCCACAYTTTCCATGTGCCTGTTTTCTGCCAACGTAACAGTCTATTTGATTTCATTAGCATTTATTTCATAAAAATGGGTCTGACCCCTGGGGACAAACCTGAGGTTCCCAGACTCACTATAATTCAGTATTTCATGTCTTGAGAAATATTTTTTAGTGTCAGCTTGCTGTGTGTTTTAAATTACAGCCTAGTAAAACTGACTGAGAAAGAGTAGGATTTAGTGACAGGGTGGAGAGTAAGGCRTAGATCTTTAGTTGTTTAAATGCACTACACTTCTTTCCCAGTTTAAACAACACAATAAAATGGAATACAATTGTGTGTTATATGGAATATCCTTGGTTTTCTATCCAAATTTTGACATTTACCCTGAGAATCCTCTGCTTTGCATGGCATAAGCATTTGGATTGATGCTTGTGATGTTGTGTGCCCATTTTCTAATAGGACTTCAGGGCTTCATTCTGCAGACTTTCATGCACAGGAGTGGCTTTACACAAGAATGTATGGCCGTAGGTATTAACAAGAAAAGCTGCTTAAATACATGTTCTCAGGACTGAGGCCTAGATGCATTTCAACACACTGTAGTTTGTGCTGCCTGTTTTGTTGGACACCAAGGAGTAACAAAACCTTTTGCAGGTTCTGTATCAAGTTTGTATAGACCAGCTAATTTTCTGAAAAAAAAATTCTCTTACTGTCTATTTTATATAATGAACTTCATACATTACAAACTTTAATTGGTCCTTAAAAACCCAACAAAAAAAAAAAAAAAAAAAAAAAAAAAAAGAGACAATAATACAGTCCTGCAGAAATCTTTAGGTCTGTTTCTTGAAAGGGTGAGAAGTTTACCTTTTAAAATGTGCTGGTAGCTTAAAATCATAGCCTACATTTCTGTGATTTACCTGACAGGAAGACAGGTATCTAACATCTTCAAATACCCTTTTGAAGTCAAAAGTGAAATCACATGAACTGAAACACTGTTTAAATTGTCTCTTTAAGAGACATAACTGTTTTCTTAGTTGGACATGAAAGTGGATCTATTCCAGACATCTCAGTGCATGCACTTAGGGTTATCACAGACCCCAACACCAACCAGAGAGGTTTTAGGGCGTCCTGTCAGCCAATGCTGTGTAAATTCATGACATATGGCAGGAGCAGGTGTCCCCATGTGGATCACCCTCCTGGACTTCTCCTGCTCTGGTTCCCCACTGCCATTGGAGCTGTGTCCCTTTCCCAGCCACATCCCAACCAGCGCAGGCAGAGCACACAAGGACACATCAGGATGTCAGAGCCAAATGCTGTTAAAGCAAGGTAGTGAGCTGTTACCAGRGCTTAATCAGAAACAAGACTTTTGAAATAGTAATCCTCATGTGTAAATTATTGTAAAATAACAATGCAGTTTATTAATAATCTGAAATGAGAAGACAAATTTGCTAAATCATCACCATTCGTCCCAAAAAGCTGCCTTGTGAAAAAGATCAATAAAACATTACCCCTACAAATTATTTTTCAGAATGTATATTAACAACAATAAACATTGGGAGTGCTGCACATTAATCCTTGAATGGCAGTGGCAGTCAAAACTTTATAAAGATCTTCCTCATCCTTTTTTTATGTATTAAAATTATTTTTAAACATTTAAAAATATTTAAAACTTCTTCATTCCCTCTCAGGGTCACTGCTGAAGTAACACCCATCCCAAGAATGCACACTCAGGGTCTTATCTTGTCGTTTAATTACTACCACTCAGAAAAGAAAAAAAAAAATGCAAAGGCACTTTGGAAGTGTCTTCACACTTTGCTTCTTATCTATATTAATATTAATGACTTCATTTATCTCAGTTAAACCCTGTAGTAGGCCTTTCCTTTGGTCCCTGTTGTTTTTTGTTTTTTTTTTTAAACAGTAATAAAATCAGAAAGAGCTGGCTGTAAGGGAAAACTGTAGGACAACAAAGGATATCAAGTATAAAATCTGAGGGTCCAGCAGAGAAAATGGCAGACACATGATACATATTAATCAGGATATAGGAATACATATCTTCAGTCATATAAGTATTCATTCTGCAGACACATCTGTTTCTATTGTTTGCATGTGTAATTGAACATAAACAAAGGAAAAGATATACACAAAGCTGTACTACCGAGAAATGTTTACACTTTACTTACAAAAAAAAAGCAGACAGGGAAAAGAAATCTGAATTCTGTGACACAATATTTATGTCTGCAGGACATAACTGTTTAAAATTCCTTTAATTATGTGTTTACAATGAAGAAGACTTTTCCACAAACAGAGGAAACTATACCATAGGCTTGGCCACATTTAGTTTTAAAATACCACTGAAAATATGCTTCATCAGTTCAGGTCACCACTGTATTGGTGGTCTTCTTGACAGTTTACCTTAATACTAAGGTTAAATTATTAGTTCACGTACTGTTAGAAATCACGAAATTCCACAAAGACAAACTAGACAACATTTTGCAGTTTCAAAAAAAAATCCCCTCCATTTTATGTTTTGCCCATTTTGTGCAAGAAAGCCTAGATGTGAAGACAGAGGAGTTGGAAGTTTTAAAGAGAATAAAACTCTGTTAACAGGAGTTTCAACTGCAAGAATTTTCTTTTCTACTATTTCATTCATAAGAACCTTCTTTAAATGTGCTTCCCTTGTTTGCACCCTGTAGCAGCACTTTCTAACATTACAAAGGCATACACAGCGCCCATTTAACTAACTACTATGCATGTTTTCTCTGAAATTGAAATTATATTCATCAGTGTCTCAAATATATACGAAGAAACACATGAAAAAGAAATCACAGMGAGCAGTTTAAAAGAGAAATGTAAGCATACACGCATTTTTTACACTCTACATCACCGATTCTAAACACTGGATTGCAGACAGAGAATATACTGCTGCAAAAGTTTACAGCAAAGAAAAAGAAAGGGCTATAACAGTGCTTATACAAATCAAAACAAGACACAGAATAGTCAAATAAACAGTAGAAAATCTGCAGAGTCTTTGAGAATGCATTCTCATGTTTCCAAGAAAGTAAAGTGCTAGAAAGAAAAYGTAACATTACAAAACATTTAGAAGCATTTTTAAGTTGCTTCTCTTCAAATTTCAAATAGCTCTTGCCATAGACTTGCCCAAAGTATTATTAGTACAGCATAGTTCAGGAGAATTGCTAAAAATCGTACCTTTTAATCCAGGGATTTGCAACAGGAGCTCTCAAAGCTGAGATGTAATTAAACTAAATATTCAACCCAGGCAAAAGGCTTTGCAGGTGTGGAAAGGAGGAGGGGGTAAATTCAGCTCAGTGACTGTCACTTGGTGGAAAACCCTCCTGCTTCTATTCCATAGCACAGTTTAAAAATAAGGTTTCTCTCAATGAACACAATCCAGGCTGACACCCACATTAGATCATATGGTAATGATATGTCTCCTGTGTTGTAGCCAGAAACTTTATCAGCTCTTTTGCTTTCTTTTCCTCCTTTTTCTTTTTCATTTGCTTTMTTTCTCTTTCATCTGTTTACAATTCCAATCTACTTGTACATTTTAAGACAGATTTTTAGCTGTAATTCATCTTACTTTTTTTTTAATGTCCCTACAAAATAAATTTAGGAAAGTTTTCTTAGTTTTCACTATGGGGGGTTTTATGACTCATTAATGAAAAAAATGCTTGGCTGTTCCTCTTGTTTATAGTATTTGGAAATCAAGGAAATTATATAAAGTTAATCTTTGAGTTAGGCAAAGTGGAGATTAGTATCAGAAAAAAGGGTTATCTTTAAGTAAAACTATTTAAACAGATACTAACCTGCCTTTGCTTATGCTATAATCATTGTCAACCCAATAGTATATAATTTAATATATTATTATCTTGTCTAATAATAGAGTTTGTATGTATTTTTTAAAACTAAAGCATGGTTTTGGTATACATAAAAATCGTGTTTTCATTAGTAAAATGATTCTAACATTTGTGGTTAGAGCTGCTTTATATAAACTTTGCTTTTTTTTTTTTTTTTCTTCACTGCCTTCTCACCAGGGCAGCAAAACAGACGGGAAATTAGCTTTAACTGTCTGGTTTGGGGTTGGTGGGTTTTTTTGTGTTATTTAATTTTTTAAGTGTTTTTTTTTTCTTTTTTTGGTCAGTTGGAGTTTTTTAAGAGACAGAGGAGATTTTTTTAAAACATGGAAGGCTAAATGCATCTGACTTATTGCTCAATTTTTTACTTTATCTCAGTAATTTCTGGTTTTATGCAAATGTCAGTGCAATCAACAATGCAGTTTCTTTATTCCTGCACAATTTTAGAAGTCTAGTCACCTGAAATTAGAGCAAATACAATAATTAGTATTTATTTAGTAACCCAAACATATTGTGAACATGTGCAGCTTCACTGTGCTATTAGCTGTCCTATCTAAATACTGAAGGCTTGTATCTCTGTGTTTTGACTTTTATCCTTTTTATTTCTGGCCCTAGGCTAAGACCAGGTGCAAATCTGCAATTAAAGCCTGTAAAATGATGTGTAAAAGATGTCATAATTTCAGAAACACAATAGGTTCCTGAAGTTTTAGCTCTCTTCCTCATTTAAATTTAAGAAGAGCCCTTATAAGAGACGTGATAATTGTTCTCCTTTGGTGGAAGAAAGCATGGTAGAATAATTGTCTGTTAGTTTTGGTCTGCATAGAACAAAGGTGTAATCAGACATCTTACATTACAGCTTCTTTATATAGCTCACCCTAAAAATTCAGGATCAGTCTTTCAGCCCCAGTCCCTAAGCTGGTGTCTTTTTCCTGCCCCTCCACTAGGTCCAAGACCAGTAATGGTTTTTGTTGTGACTTTTTTCTACATGTGATTAGTGGTGCTCCAAGCTTTCATGCTTACAACAAAGCTTTATCTTTGTCCAGAAGTGTCACCATGAGGCTTGCTAAATCTTGACTGCATCTTAGTAATGTCAGTTACTTGAACCCTGGTCACCAGCTGCATCTGGTGTTTAAAAACATTTCAAAGCAAGATTTTGATGAGGAACAGGTCAGCGTAAACTTGTTTTCAGTTTGCTTCATGAAGCCCATTCATATSCTTTCCCAGCAAAGCCATAATAAATTTGTTCTGATACCTGTTATGGGGTTGAAAGATGGTGTAATTTAATGCCTCAGTAATTTCTTTGGAGGCAGAGGAGGGGGATGAAGAGACATCTCTCCTTTTTGTCATGGGCATTAGGAAGATTCAAACCAAAATATGAAGATAAAGGTGGGAACAGGTGGAGCACAGAGTGTCTGCTGGGTGGACTGGGGGCTCTGYTTGGTTTCATGAAGTCCATTCCAAGAAGCTCAGAGGGTAAAAGATGTTACCAGCTTCACGAATTATGAACAGTTATGATACCKGATGATACCCAGCAGGAGAAGAGGCATATGTTAGGTACCCAGCCCTTCCTGAAATGGAATGTGGAATTGGGTGGAAGACAGAGCAACTGAATGGGAGAGGACTTATGACATTAAAAACTGATGTRGTACCCTATTAATTGCTTTGAATCAAGGAATCACAGAATCATTCAGGCTGGAGGAGACCTCTGAGGTCATTGAGACTCACCTTTGACTGATCACCACTGTCTCAGTTTGAGACAATGTTTTCAGAGAAATACATTACAGAGTAAATGTTTCTTCTGAAGTGAAAAATTTGACAATTTTTTCTTACCAATATGAAATAGATGTTTGAGCAAAAGTGAAGAGAAAAAAGTAATTTATTAACAGTGCCTACAGGACACAGATAAAAAATAACTGTCAGATATTTAAAACTCAGGAACACACACTGCCATCTCCCCCCACAAACTGCTCAGCCAGTGGTGCAGAGAAAAGATGGCGGCTCCCAGCCCCAGGAAAAAGAAACAAAGGAAAAACCCCACGTGGCCGCTCTGGCAACAGTGGAAAAAAAAAAATCCCGATTGTAGTCTTTTTCTCACTGTGGATAAAACAGAGGGTTCGGTGTGTTTTTCTGTCGCTGGCTTGGCTTCTTCTGGAGTCCAGGACAAGACAGCGGCGTGGCTTGTCCCTACCAGCCGCTGAATTTCTCCAGAAGAAAAACTACACAAGTCAGAGAAAAGGGTTGGTGGAAAAGCTGTTTGCCCAAAGTAACAAACCCGAGCTAGCTAAAYGGCAACAACGTAACTACGCTGCACACAGTGAGCAAGGACTCCTGCAGCACCAATGCTGAGGTCCAAAAGCAAAAGGCTGCGCGGCAACCCCGGCCTTTAAACTGGCCACGCTGCCTCTGCCCCTTCTTCTGGGTTGGATTTAAAAGCACAGGAACCTTTTGGGCATACAAGCTGATGGAAAAATGAATACAGGATTGGCACAACATCAACCCAAGACAGCCACCTTGTCCATTAGACCATGGTCCCAAGTGCCACATCCAGTCTTTTCTCGAACACATCCAGGGATGGTGACTCTACAACCTCCCTGGGAAGCCCATTCCAATGCTTAATCACCCTTTCTGTGAAAATATTATTCCTGATGCCCAACCTGAACATTCCCTGATGCAACTTGAGGCCATTTCCTGTTATGCCATTGTTGGTTGCCTGTGAGTAGAGGCTGACCCCCATCTGGCTACAGCCACTTTTCAGGCATTTGTGGATGGTGATGAGGTCACCCCTGAGCCCCCTTTTCTCCAGGCTAAACACTCCCAGCTCCTTCAGCTGCTCCTTTTAGTATTTATTCTCTCTAGACCCCTCSCAGCTTCATTGCCCTTCTCTGGACACACAATATTTGCGTGCTTTCCTGAGAATGCAGATCCTTTTTGATACAAGTATTCCTTTAAACCCACTCTTTGCCCCCTGCTGTGTCACTCAGAAGATAAACAACCTTAAAAAAAAACAAAACTAACAACCAAAGAACAATACGAAGTCATTATGTAATTTTATGGCTCTTGACCATGCATCAATCAGCTATCCTTCTCAGTCTGACCTACTTTGACTACTGGTTAGTCAGTATAAAAAAAAAATCATTATTAGAACAGTCTTGGTTTCTATGTGATTTTATTACTCCAATTTAACAAGCTTTTAGGGCTACATGCTGCTCTAAATACTGATTCCCAGAAAAAGTTACAGGCAACTGCATGTTAATGCTATTTATATAACAATATTTTTATTAAATTTTGATGGATAGCATCTGCTTCATTTGCTCTTAGGTTATTTTGTGGACCTTTCRAAGGGCAGGGGTAGGAAAGAATACAGGAAGCCTGCCTGCTGCTGAGCGCTCTACCTGGGTCCAGTGGAAGTCTCTGCAGGAAAGAGATGAATACTGCCCACGAGGAGCAAGCATATCCTGGGGAAATTACACCTGGGCATGGGGCTGAGCTAGGAGAGAGGCACATCCAGCAGCTACCCAGTGCTGAGGTGCAAGACTCCTCAGAGGAACTGACATAATCTGTTCCTGTGGGTGGACAGAAAGGCTTTTTTAGGGAGTCTGGAAAGAAACGGGCAGCATTTATTGCAAACTGCAAATTTAGCATTCCAAGCTACTGGAATGAAACCAAAGCAGGAGGGCAGGATCTGTGCTGCAGGAACATGGTCCCCTAGAGACTCAGATTCTTCCTCATTCTAAGTTTTCACTAAGAGAAGAAGGCATTTTTTGGGGCTGCCTTCTGAGAGATCCCAGCTTTGATGATCAAAGCCATTGTTGTGACTGTTTTGGTAAAGGGGCATACAAGACTACCTCAAAGTCCTGGTAAACCAGCTAGGTGAGCACCAAACCCCATCAGGTAAGGGCCAAACCCCATCAGGTAAGGGCCAAACCCCATCAGGTAAGGGCCAAACCCCATCAGGTAAGCACCAATCCCCATCAGGTAAGCACCAATCCCCATCAGGTAAGCACCAATCCCCATCAGGAAAGGAATGAAAACAAATGCTCTGCTTGGCTGCCTCAAGGGAACCCTTTCCACCCTCTCGGTGTCTCACATCTTTGCTAACTTCACTTTACTAACACCTCAATATTTCATCTTCCRCATTCACTAGGTATCATAGTCTGTCTCTTCTTTCGACACTAGGCATAATAATTTCTTCCAATTAAGGGTAGTAAACTGTTCTTCACAGTTAGCAGTAGAGCTCCTTTACTAAAAATGTGAGTAAATATTCACCCCAGCTTAGTAAACATTGATCCAGGTAAATATTGATTCAGGCACAGCCTCACAAGGTCGTTGAAGAGACAGAAATGTAATTTCTGAGTATACTGAATTTGAAAGTTTYCTTCAGTGCTCTGTGACCTCAGAAATTGTCAGCCTGAACTGCTTCACATTTCTACAGATCAAAAGAGCTAATGAATCAGCTTTTGGATGTGTGCTACCAGCAGCATTTCATTTATGCTTCTGTGACGAGCAATTCTTGTATAACTGAACAAAATGCAGTCAAACTTCAAAAGAGGGAGCTCTCTCTTTAGA